AAATGGTCACAATTCCAGTTATTTCACTTGAAATCGCCAACGAATGATTTCCAAGAGTTTAGAAACTCCGACTAAATTGCTTAAGCTTCTCCAGAAGACCGGAACATATAGTCAGTGATCCTATACATTTATGTTGTATGATAGCTTGATTGCCTTTAGGATTTTTCGAGAGTGTTCTTAACCTAGTTACCATGTCTTGTAGAGTTGAGTGGTTACTTGGACATTGCAGCCACCACCTCGTTTGGTGCAATTTACTTTGCACTCAACCTCAACATTGCTAGCGTAGTTGCTTTGTTGTGTGCGTGTAGTCTTTTCAAAGAACTCGTGACCAAACGTTTGTTACCTCAAAATGTCATCACTACGCGGTGACTATTACATACAATAGCAAAACAGAACAAAAATGGTTTCATGAATAAGTATAGTGACGAAATCATTCACCTACTTTACTGGGTGTCAAGTTTCATCTCATACTTCACAGGTACAACGCTCCTTTCAGACATCCTGAGATTTTCACCAACGTATCTAACAAACATTGTGGTGTATTATTGATTTTGGCTAGCACAATCGCGTTAAGGAATTGGCAAACAGATAACTTTTTTGGAAGTAGTATTCATCATGAACTGACATCAGTTGGGGAACCATTGAGAATCTGGGAGCACTGGACAGCTGTTTCGTCCGGCTAGTATAGGACTCCTCAGCAGTATGCATCCATGACCCGGCCAGGGGTCGAACCCAGGACCTCCAGGTTTTACGGCGAACGCGTTAACCATTAAGCCACTGAGTCGGTTTCCAGTGGTTCACAATTTCCAACTTCTGTCAATTCACGACATAGCGCGACTGTCAGATAACTTTTTTACCTTAATTGAAAAAGTTCTTATTTTGGGACGAACCCCGAAAACCAATCTAGAAGATCATGTATACCTGTCAGTGACCGAGTTTCTAGAATCGACAATCCTAAGCGAAAATATGGTCTAGAGCGGTGATCGGTTTCGTTGATTATAACTTTCGTGATATCATATGCCGAAAATCCAGTAGACCTATTTGTATTCATTAGAAATGGCTTATTCATTTCCTTCTGACAAAAATAATTTATGCAGGTTGATAACTGAAGGTGAGATGAAAACCTGAGGTGCGACTGGATTGAGATCAGTGACCTATGGTGCTCTACCAACTGAGTTGCAAGACGCAATTATTGACAATCTCTTCACTACACTCCAACTGTGGCGTTCAAGCTGTTCCTTTCTCATTCAGTTAAATTTGAAATAAGAAAAACTAGCTGGACAATCAGTGTGATTACAGTGGATGACCAGTTATGTATCAGGTATTAACATGATAGACGGTGAAAACCATCCATAGTTGAAGTGAAGTTAGCACCTGGTCACTAATTGGGTCTTGAAGTTTAGATGGCACAGCACTGAATCATTAACCCGGAGGCTTCTGGTTCGAATTCCACCATGAACTGGGTCTCCATTTCACTTCTGATCATCATCCCGCACCAATAATACTAGTCCACTGAATCAGGTCCACCTCAATTAGTTTCATCAGAAAAATAACAGTTGCTTGAAGTTTGTCAGGCGAAATTTAAAAGCTAAGTGAGCTGAATTTATCGATTACAGTTCTGCAGGTTGCTTAGCAATCACGCAGGACTGGTAACTTTGTGAGTGGTTCCAGTAAAATCACTCTTTATACACAGTAGATAAATCCATATTTTATTTCTATTACCCTCATATTTCTCAATAACATACCATTAAACTTCATAGTGACCTGTTAAGTTGCATAATCTTATTTCACTTTATAAGAACATGATATTTGATGCAACTCAGCAACATACCAGATAGTTGTACACTATACCACGAACAGTGCTTACTATTCGTCAATGGTAACAATACAAATTCCCGAAGATGAAGTTGATGTTGGAATGCACTGAGACTTGGGATTTGAGTTCAGATTCCTTGATTAGTAAATTAAAGCTATACCTAACGCTCAATAGTATGAACTCGAAAAGTTGAACAAGTGTGGAAACAGATTGTGGTTCGTTTTCTTAATTTACCTTGTTACAGCTAACAAAATAGCCTAGCTAACTGCGTGTACTATCATGGATAGAATACTATTTTAACATTTAATCCAGAATGGAACGAAATTGGATGTTTTAAGTGAATGCATAGTTAACTAACAACCAACGTTTGGTGGCTTAATCAATGAAGTGCCGAGATGCTGCTGTATTGAATTGAACTCTGATTTAGATCCTTCCCAATTTAATCTAACTTATGTTATAAATAGCCAGTGTATAATATGTCTCCTAATTCAACATAATCTATGACAACTAGCCTTTGGTAGGTTTTCATCTAGCTTGTAGATCCATTTTTGGAAGGGAAAATAGTCCAGTGTGCTTAAGGCTATTGGTTGAAGTTCACTCAACTAGCAAGATAATCAGCAATAGAAAGGAAGGTGACGAAAATATGATTTAATGACTTAAAAAAACAGAAGAAATGGACTTTTGTTGAATAACACAAGACAACCGACAGTCGTTAATGAGGCACACTGAGAAGACAAACTAATCTGAAGAAAGAAACTGGATATTGACTGATTACAGTTTTAAATATGGCACAAATCAAGCAGCCAGGAATAGTGTAAACTCTTCTACCACGATCTGAATGCATTAGGAAAGTCAGTCAGACTAGTAAATCAATATGCAAGGCAATAAGATGAAAAACAGGGTAACAAATAGAAAAGAATGTAATTAAATATGGTAGAAAATCATAAAGGAGGAGGCAGGAGTAGAAGAAATGACTATAAAGATCAAAGAAATACGTGAATACATCTGTACCACTGAAGTCATATCAGAGTGATATTGGTTACAGTCTTTTACCACCGACTTCATTTGTCACGGGGACGCAAATTGGGGAGTCTACGTTCTTTACGTGGTTCCAGTTGACAGTCAGAACCTTCATAGACTGATGCCATGTTTTAGTCCTGTCACCTTTAGCCTTTTTCAGCCTAACTCTACTTCTGCTGGCGTCGCGCGTTGCGATAGCGGGTGACTGTCCCATTAGCTGACTTACCTCATTTGCCTAGGACTCTCCACCTAACCCGTTATGTCTCCTCTGCTCTCGATGAAATCGAAAGTGAGAATGGAGACATAGCATGTAGGCACCATGTGTGAATCTAATAATGCTGTCCAGATTGTAAAAGAGATGAGAATGTATAGTAGAGAAGTGCTAGAAATCTGCGAAAGCAGATGGGATGGAAGTGAACTCTCCAAACTGTCAACTGGAGAGTCAATTATCTACTCTGATATTGTCACCCAAACGACAACCACGAGCACACTGAGTTATGGAATGAGTATCATGATGTCCCCAACAGCATGAAAGACTCTGCTGCAGTGGGAACCAATCTCCTCCACGATCGGGATCATGACAGCAAGGTTATCCTCAAAAGGAAGGAAAGTCACAATCATACAATGCTACTGTACGCACCTACAAATAATGCAGACGCGGACGAAGAGAAGAAGGTAGAATTCTGTAGACAATTGCAATCAGTACTGGGCAAGACTCCACCTCAGATTGCTTTAAACATTGGATTAGGATTATTTCATGAAAGCCTAAACAGTTGTATGATGTAGCATCTATGGATCTGTTGCACGTTTTTTGGGCAGCTGAATTTAAACTAGTGTGTCACGTGTTCAGACACCGTCCCACCTACCGAGGTTTGACTAGCCAGGTAGTGTCGTTGACCCTTGTACAATAGATTTGGCTTATTACTTAACCCACAAGGTTACTGAATGCGTTTCGTTTGCTTCTGTATGACATTTATGATTCCTGGCTTTTTCTCTCAAACGATAGTAGTACTACAGCTTTATTACCGCTTTCCAATACAGATAGACAGATGTAAGTTACATCTACTGTGTGGGCGAATGAATGTAGATTGAAGATAGAAACAAAAAGAAAATCAATGAAAATAAGGATAACGGTACTACTAAGGAAGTAGGTAAAGAAAAATATTCATGAAAAGGGGAATGAAAAGGTATGGATTAATAGGATGCCATTTACTCTTAGTGAAACTAGGTATCAGTGTATCCATGATTATTGTAACGGATTTTGAGCAACACTGTTTAAAATAACTAATCAGAGATCACAACTGTCTCGTGAACTACCCTCAGGAAATTAAAACCTGCTTAGTTCCTTCTTGTCTCCTGTCTTTTCAATTACCTTAAGCTTAAGGTGAACCACAAAGGTCAGGGCATCTGTTTTATTTTATGCTCATACAGTTGGTTGATTCTTACAAAATATGAGGTTCGTTGAAGTAAAAAAATAACTGGAAAACCACTTTTCTTCTTGAAGTATCGTTTTTCATAAATATGGAACAACTACCGTAAATTCGAGTTTACTTATTATCGGAAAGACAATTTGATAATTCATTCTTTTATATAATACTGGAAACATTCTTAGCTGCTTACTTCTTTGTGTGACTGTCATTCGCTGATCTATGCACTCAGCTTTAAGCCAATAAGTAGGTTATGGGTTTGACCCTGCTCCATCTATTGGGATTTAGCTAGCCAGGTTATGTCATTGAACCTATAGGTTTTATGCATTGCTGAGTAAACAAGCATGAATATGGTTTCTCAGAGCATTTCGATTGTAATCACTTACCCTGATTTTTAAATGTTTCGATGATAAAAGTTTAAAACCACTAATTGTTTTAGAATTTGAGAGGTTTTGATCATTTAGTCGGAGGACTTAATCCTCAGCTCCTGTTACTTTCCAGTTGGACCAAAATACAGTCAGCAGCCATGTTCATATGCTTGCAGTAGATAATGAGCCACACCAATAACTGTGTGAAGGCTAATGTTACTATCGGAATGCACAAACCTTGGTAGATGTAGTAGGGCTCAAACCCATGACCACGAAAATCATGTTCTTCATCCAATGAGCAACATCCATGTGGAATCCGCACTTAACTTATCTTGTTCGAACAAAAGATTTATGATTTTTGCTCTTCAGATAATCTATCTGACCGAAAGAAGAATGTTAACACGTATGTATGTACTCATAGACATGTTCATTTCAGTATTTATTTTACTGTATGCTTGCAAATTTTTTCATTGACAGAAGATCCATATATTCCAAGTTACATGGATCCAGCCAATGGTCCAGAACCTTGTGTTGTTTGCGGTGATAATGCCACTGGATTTCATTATCGTGCTATGACATGTGAAGGGTGTAAAGGATTTTTTCGACGTTCAGTACAAAAGAAACTTGTTTACACATGTAAATTTAACGGGAGGTGTTCAGTGTCAGACAAACAGAACAGGAATAGCTGTCAAAAGTGTCGATTTGATCGGTGTATCAAAGGTGGTATGGCTAAAGATTGTAAGTGGACAAATTATTCTAAGATATTTATTCATTTTTGTGAGTGAGTGAGTGAATAAACATTTTCATCTTGCCTAGATGAAGTGATCTAAAAAAGTTCGTTTATATCTCCGCTTCGAGTGAAGTGGTCACCGTCAATTGTTGTACGAATATGAAATCAATCACTAAACTATCCACTATAGTCATTTTCATATAGTAGTCAAGATTTTTTGAACTTACAAGATAAATTTTACATTTTACATGTATACAAAACCTCAATTTTTTCATTAACTTTATTGACCTAATACATTTATTCACACAGAAGATTGATGAAGTCATTTATAACCCATACATGAAGTATGCTCAAATCACTAAAATTAGCACCAAATGATAAAGTTTTCAGTTGAGAAACACACTACTTACAAACAACAAGTAAGCACATGTTAACATGAACTATGAATGCATCTTCTTGTCAAGAGGTCAGGATAAAACACTAGTATTCCCATAAATCACTAGTCACCATAGAATAACTGTGCTGAATACCGCCATGAATTTACTCAGTCCTCATAAACCACCAATTCACCTATTTTCCATTTGCTTCGAGAGGAATTTCCCGAGTATCTAATGAGAAGTCGTAACCACTGAGGTCAGTAAAGGCGGTAGTGAAGAGATGCCATAAGATGATTGTCTGTTTATATCACGAATTGGAAGAGGTTGAAAAAATGTTGGCCATTGGATTTTGACCCAGTGACTGAATGATAAGGCTGTCGCCATGATACTTCGATGTTCCGTTCTCGACCTCTCATAAGGTTGTCTGTTCATATTACTGTCAAGTTTCAGATTAGGACGAAACAGATTTCCTGTACTTCTATGTTTTACTGCCTCTCCAACTGATATTCACCCATAATTGGAACTATTTTCGCTTATATTTAGTCACAATTTAAACAAATTTCCATGTCCTCCTTCATTTTAAAGTTTAAGATACGTGGGGTAACACAAAGAAGAAATAATTAAATATGGGTTTCACATAGGCTAGTAGACATTAAAAATGTGTGTTTATGATGTTTAGAACATCTTATATGTTTTCTGTTTCAATCTGTTTACCAAGGTTTTGTCAAAACACGCACTTCATTATTGCTATAGTTGCATTTTTCGTGTCATTTTTCTGTCAGTCTTTTTACATCATTCAAATCTATTTCAAAATGTTCTACATTTTTATGCACCTGAGTTATTTCTTTAATTTTTGTGAATGAGTAAGAGTCATTATACGAAGGAATTTCCATCAAGCGATCTGAATTTTCCCGGTATTGAGGATATTGTTAAGCTGACATCTGCTATTGTTATTGCTTTTACAGCTGTAATGTGCACCATCGGCTAGGAACTAGGACAAGGGTGTAAGCATACTAGCAATTTTAGATGACACATTATGTATATGATCTGTAAGCATAACCCCGAAGTCTACCCGGGAAAATCCAAAGACAACCAATTAGGCTTTTTGATTTTCTCCAGAAACATAGTTTTCACGTAAGGTGAAAATGCCTAGTTGGGTAATCCAGTAGTTGTTAGGATGAGCCACGGAGCCATTTGATTTGTAGCTTACTCTTCGGGTTTGTCAGCACTTTTCAGAAATATTAATCTGAAGGTCGCTCGAACAATCAATAAAATAGTCAATCTTATCTCGTCATTTTATAAACAATTGCTATTCTAGCTGAAATAGGGAAACCTGATTGCCTATTTCAGTCGTTGTCTGGCTGGTATTTGGAGTAACTCGTCAGTATAGTAACTTCAGACGCCACTCTAACAACTAAAGTTGTTAATTAAGTCTCATGTTTTCATTTAGATCAACTGTCTAAATGAAAGTAAGGTGAGTAATTAGTTATTTTAGGCGTTGCTGAGGTAGTCTTTAGAGTCACTGCATTTGACAGTGAGTTACTTCTATGGTCGCCAGAACAACCGCTGAAATACCCTACTTAGGTTCTGATAATTCGCGTAAGAGACTAACTCAGTGACTGAACTAAAAAAGCTCAGTTGGTGATTTCATTAATTGTTATCATGGGCTATAAAGTCACTGGAAAACTCCTTGATTCATCATTAAAGCAAACATAATATGTATGTAGGTGGAGGCAGAAACTACCAATCCGAAAAATTGGTTCTGTATTAAAGGTAACCACTAACAGCAGCAACAGAAAAGTAACCAAAACTCAATCAGGAAGTCGACAGATACAGTGTAATTTGATCCAGCACACCACAACTTTAGTTTCCACAACACCATTTCAAGGGTCTAACTATGTGATGATCAAAAAGCTTGAGACGTTTTGCCATTGAGTAGATTGTTAAAGTGCTTAGGAAAAACAGATTGGTTTTCCTGTGAAAGCTTCCGAAAAACAATTTATTAGACTAGGATGAAAGCAAACAGAATATGGTAGAATCGAGTCACCGTACATTTTCATGCAATCGAAAACATCGAGATGAAAGTTATGTTCATAGGAAATTAAGCAGTACAGACAAACAAGCTCTGCTTTTATAGATGTTAGGTAAAAAGTGCAAAGTGTAGGAAACTACACAATGAAACATTTTCAATTTAAAAACCTGTAAAAGCTATTTTTCAGACTCTGCAAGTACAATTCATCCTATAAATTATATGTACCATGATCGTTCATGTGAAATCCTTCATGATAGTAAACCTTCCTAAGCAATCTAATGGTGACTAACATAATTGAAATCAGTCAAGAAATGCCCTTTTCCTTAAAATCCATCCAGGTTAGGGTCAATGATTCGTTACAAACAATCTTGGGTTAAGTAGCAGTACTGTATCCAGCTCGTCATTTGTTACAGTCTTTTTATAGTTGGATGAGGTCGCATGAGAGTTTTTAGAAATGTCCAGTACCTTTTTACCGTCACTTTGGATCGAATAACATGAATGAAGGGTATTGTGTTAAACATTCACAAGGAATTAAAAGCAGAAATCATCTTACTTCTTGCAAGATTCCACTGTGTATGATCTCTATTGTGTGTGTCATTTTTAGGTTGATAGGTCAAAGTTTAGGTGAACTGGATAACTGATCTGAAATTCTAATCAACAAGTTTACTTCTTCATTTATTTTAGTGGTGTTGGATGAAGAAAAGCGTTTGGCAAAACGTCGTTTAATTGAAGCTAATCGTGCACGTAAACGTGCTGAATCAGACAGTGCTATGCAACAGAATCAAATGAATCCGGGTCCAAGTCCACCTAAACAAACAAACTTTCCTCCACCTCCTTCTCTTCCCACTGTTGGTGTTGGTCAACCTCCTCTTCTTTCTTCTCCATTATTGACTCAACAAAATTCACTTGCTCAAATTAGGCAGCCGCAAACACAGCGAATAAGGTCACCATTGGTATCAACGGTTCAACAACGCTCCGTTTTACACAGTTATCCAACGATAACCGCACAGACCGGAGTGATGAACTTTGCTAATATATCACCAACTGATGGCAAGTCACCTCAAGCACAGATGTCTGCAAACCTTAGTCCTTCTGTAACAGTAGCAGCAGCAGCAGTTGCATCAACAGCTAATCTTAATCAACGTGCCCCGTCATCATCACTCCAACCGATATACGATCCTAATTGTGCGATGCTTCCATTGTTGCAAACTTCGCCACCAAGAAACCAAATGATGTATTCTGGTGAGAATTCATCACCAAATCAACACGGTCATTACATTAACACTAGTCCACATCAACCTCTTTCTCTCCAGCATCATCAGCATCCCACTATACATTCACTTCAGGTGCCGACGACCGACATGCTGTCAAGTCATACGCCTCATTCCAATCCTTTAATAAATATATCGTCTAATCTTCCAATAGGCGAAACGAATCAGATTTACTGGTCAGGTAATTCAAGTATAAATGGATCAGCGGGAAATATATTTCATCATTCATTGACTACACTACACAGTAATATTAGTCAAATTCATCAGCAAACACAACTTCCTGTTCAACATCATCAAGGTAATATCATCCAAACAAATGTCAACAATTCAAACTGGGATGATGAACAATTCACACAGTCGTTAATAACTACTGGGAACAATGTCTCACAATACTGTCCAATAAATATGGTGAATGAAGCTCTCCCATATGAACATCAGCGTCATCATCATCACCACCACCAACAACTATTGCAACCAATGCCACCAACTCAACATCAAGAAGTTAATTTAGCCATACAAAAAGGAAATACCATGAACATCTTTCATTCTGATCCACTCATAAGTAATAACTCAATGCATAATGATGACATAAGTGATGTGAAGATCACCAAACTGGAAGATGAAAATTTTACAACACCAATAACTTCTTTGAATACGTCTACTGGTATTAATCCACTTTCTGTCACTTCTTACTCGTCATCATCATTATTATCCTCCTCTTCATCTTCTTCGGCTTCTTCCTTGGGATCATCATCATCATCATCTATGTCATCATCTAACTTTTCAGTACCAGCTGTAAAAGAAATTGAAGACCAATTGTTATCAATTTCGAAGTCAGATAGTTCATTGGATACAAGGGATGATTTATTCGTTTGGACAATTGACGACCAGAATCTAACTGACTCAATACGTAATGCATACGAATCGATATATTTTGATTCAGTAAGTTTTAGTCAAGTCGACTGACCATATTTAACCAATAAACTAAAGTAGAGAACAAGTAGATGGAGCTGTGTCTCATTGGTATAGCAGCTTAACTGTTGACCACTAGTGTATAGCATACAGTCCATCTGTATCCATCAAGATATGCAATACCTAGTAACTTAACTATATGAACTGGTGTACAATCAGCACAGTCTATTACTTATTGCACCAACCTGTAAAGACAAGTCGATCAGGTGGTTGTTTCTTTCTTATATCAGCGTCTATCATGAAAGTATCATCCTTCTTGATGAATTCCTATCTTTAAATAGGATACATTTGTTCCAAAATAAATAAACATAGGGTAATATTCAATTTTCTTACTTTAAGGAGTGCATAAATGACATCAAAGGCTATATGTCAACTTGAAGTTATCAAGTAAATATTTAGAAGTAGTATTCATCATAGATTGACATCAGTTGGGGAACCACTGAAAATCTGGGAGCACTAGACAGCTGTTTCGTCCTAGTACGGGACTCCTCAGTAGTACGCACCCACAACCCGACTAGGGGTCGAACTCAGGACCTTCAGGTTTCACGGCGAACGCGACCTAGTGGCTGAATGGTTAACGTGTTCGCCGTGAAACCTGAAGGTCCTGAGTTCGATCCCTAGTCGGGTTGTGGGTGCGTACTGCTGAGGAGTCCCATACTAGTCGGGCGAAACAGCTGTCTAGTGCTCCCAGATTTTCAATGGTTCCCCAACTGATGTCAATCCATGATGAATACTACTTCTAAATTATAAAAATCCCCATTCATCTCAAAAATACATTAAAATAAATATTTGTTTACACTATTTAACCACCTAATGGGTATATCATACGGATAAAGTTTTAAAATAAGTCACAGATATATTTCTCATTAATTGAGGTCTAGTGTATCCTCCTAAGACAATGAAATAAATTTGGTTTTATTTCAGAAACTTCTGAACTAAGCGTTCACCTTTCAAGCAGTAGGCCATTGGTTCGAAACCCTCTCTATCTACTTCTGCAGAAAAGTGAATAATAACAAAATATTCCCAGAAGATAGTCAGAAATCCCAGCTAATAGTTAATTTCAGAAGCTATAGGACTGTGGTTCATTAGCTTAATCAGTCAACTTTTAGTCTCGAACCTCATTTCACTAATCTAGCTTTAAGCAGCCACCTAGTATCAAAAACTTGTATAGAACAAAGTACAATCTATAACCTAGTGGATACGTCTGCAAGGAAGTAATTATTTCCATTATTACTCATCAGAGCAGATTTTTATTTGAAATTGACTTCTGACAGAGTAAATAGTATGAAATCGAAGCATTTTTGGTTTACGTAGTTTTACCGGTATTGATATCTCCTATACTGAACCGTATTTATGAGTTGAATAGTTAAGCGTTTAATGTCGAAAATTTAGACACGGTCTGATGATATACGTCAACCATCAGCAACCTTAAATTTGACCTTACTAATAGGTTATGTTTCTATACTTTATATCAGGTACATGAAAATTTCTGGTATCATCTAGTTTGTCTATAAACAGACTGTATTCCTCTCCAGGTCAACATTAAGGAATAGAGTGTTATGATTATGACTGACCTGTTACACTTAACTAAAAGATGTTTATAATCTCTTTGGGGTTCAAAAAGCAATGAATTGTTTACGAACGTATATCTTGGCAGTAAGTTTATAACTCTCTCAAATGGTGAAATCAGTGGGAGCTGACCACACACTGATTGACCTGATTACAGAGGAATTTTCCGCAGACCTAGAATAAGTAGATGACACAATCCTGTTAGGTAAACACGCTGACAAGATGTGGAGTATTCTGGACACCATGAATGGCAATTTGAGAATATTTGAGATTCGTTTCTCGCCATCCAAGTGCGAATTGTTGCTCCACGACTGGTTTTCAACGGTACTCTAACAACTGAGAGTGCAGTGAATGCTTCACTTACCTGAGAAGTCGGATCAGACCTAGTGAGTCAGTGGCTGACAAAATCTCTGCTAACTTACGTCATATGTGACGCCGCCACGATATCTGTCTATTAAGGGTCGAGTATATTGCGCTGCAGTCCGCTCTGTTCTACTCTATGGCTGTAAAACATGAAGATTGAAGATAGAAGACATGAGAAGGCTTCACGTGCTTGGCCATCACTGCCTTCATAACATAAGCCGTGTTTCTTCGTGTCATCATGTGAGAAAAGCAGAAATCAGGCGTAGAGTTTTAAGGAGACGAGGTGAGACAGTTGATGCAGTAATGAACCTTTATCAAGTGAGATGGCTGGCTGAGAAATATGTTACGCATGCCTAATCACTGTTTACCTCTTCAAACAATGTTGGTCAAAGTAAGTTTAGGCCAGAGAAAGGCTCGGGATGTCCAAACTAAAATATAGCATCAATGCATGAAGTACTTGACTGTTGGCTTGAGCTGTATAGGGTGATGTAGACTAGTCGATTGGGGTCGGCGGGACAAGAGAAGTCAGTGGTTGCAGACTCTGTATGATATGACTCAGAACCTATGTCAGTGGCACAGATGCATGCACACATTATCCCCATCTTAATCTCCATACTTAATCTCATCATCTCATTCTTCCTTTCTGTCTTTTACTACTTTCTACTTCCACTTCATATGACCGATTTTTCTTTCCTTCCCCATCTTTCATTTTATTGCCTTGTTACTTGATGTGCTGATATGAGGTGTGACAACTTGAGTCATTGCGTAATAATGCCCGGTCCTATGTTGATCTTGACCATTATGACGACGATGATGATGATAATGGATAGATGGACACTGTCATTGGCCCTTATAAAATAAATATGATACGATATGAATTTTTTTTTATTTGTCAAGTTGTATTATGAATTTATGAGGGGGATACACTGGACTACGGGAAAGAACCTAGAAGACTTGGATTTCGCCGATGACTTGTGCCTGATGTCAAATAAACTTGAAGATCTACAGGCAAAAACTAACAAGTTGATAGAAGAGGCAGCGAAGACGGGACACAATTCAAGTGAATATAGAGAAGACAGAAGTGATGAAGATACCGGACCAACAACTCCAACAACAACAACAAACTCCAGTCACCATCAACGGGAGAAACTTAAAAGAAGTAACCTCTTTCACCTATCTAGGAAGCACTGTTTCAACTACAGGCGGCACAGGCACAGACGAGGATGTCAAAGTCACAATCGGAAAGGCAAGACATGCGTTCATTAACCTGAAACCAGTGTGGAGATCTTCTGCACTGCACTCAGCATGTGGAACATGATCTGGATTTTCAACACTAACGTCAAGTCAGTGCTTCTGTATGGTTCAGAGACTTGGTGCGTTATGAAAGGCATTTCCAATAAACTACAGACATTCATCAACAACTGCCTACGCTGGCTCGCTACTGAAGATCAGATGAGATGGCCAGAATAACAGGAATAAGCAACAAGGAGCTCTGGGAACGAAGCAACCAAGAACCTATCACTCAACAAATATGCATTGGGAGGAAGTGGAGATGGATTGGGCATGCATTGAGAAGGCCGACTGAGGACATCACGCGTCAGGCCAGTTGGTCGAGTGGAATCCCCATGGGAAGCGACGAGTTGGACGTCCGAGGGTGACATGGAAGAAGTCGTGCGAGGAAGAAATGAGAGCTTGTGGGCTGTCGTGGAGCCAGGTTCAAGAGATCTCAGAGAACAGAGGTCACTGGAGACGTGCTAGTGAAGCCCTATGTTCCACTAGGAACCCAAGGGACTAATAATATATATAATAATAATTATGGATTTATTAGCGACATTCATACTTTTTTTCTTTCTGTATCCAAAGCAATGTTACTGAATCTAGTTAGAACAGTTATGATCAGTGTAAATGTTTTCTCTATAATGTCTGTATACTTTACTTTTCTTAAGCCTAATAAAAAATTTAAACAAGATGAAGGTTTAACTGGTAAAAACAAGAATTTTTCAGCAAAATTGGATAACTCTCAAATGAATTCAGGTGAATTTGTCATAAAAAGTATTGTGGATTCACATGTGACGGGCTTTCTAACAAAGGTAAGTTTCAAGAAAATGAAAGAATTTTTTTGAAAGTGAATTGCTTCCATATTGTTCCTTGTGTTATCCCATCGTTGAGTGGAACGAACTGATTAATCTCTATTGAGATATGGGCTCATTTGAGGATGCCTCGATGTTTCCAGTTTGAGTTGTATATTACTGATGGATAGTAGCTGGCAGTGGAATCCAGAAAGCACGTTTCGTCCTATTTAGGAATCGTCAGCTGAATGTGCCTTCCTTCTAGTCAGAGATGTCATTTCCACTAGGACTCGAACTTAGGATCGACCACTTGAAACACCTGAGCCTTATCCACTAGACCACCGAATCACGACATCTACTTCTTGTGTGACGGATATGGCTTCCATGTTGTGGCTTTCACTATCCCGTCGTCGACGGTTTGGAAACCTCTTGATCGCTGGTTGAAATCTTGTCGCAACGCGATGGATTGAAGCTTATGCCTCGAACTCCTCGTGTATGAGTTGATACTGTCGTCTTCCCATATGTTATTTTGGTAAATACATGTGGATTAGTGAACGTGGTATGAGGTTACATTGGTTCGATATTTACAGACACTACTATGTAATGGAGTTTTTCGAAAAGATACCTTGTAGCTAAAGATTTTTACCCTTTTTCAGAAACCTTTCTCAAACAACATCTTTGTTGTATGCTAGCTGAATAGACTTTGGTAATAACAAAGATGTGAGGGCGCTTGACACATACCGAACCGTCCAAATCATGGAAGATTACTGCTTCCTGTGGTAAATGAACGAGATGTTGGAGTGGTTTGGCGTAATCTCAAAACCAATGGGATATTTACTCGAGGCCAGTCGTATATGGCCTTTTTGAAAGTTTAAAGTTTAGGTTTGACAGAGTTGAATCCAAGTCATAAAAACCCATTCTACTGGCAATCGAAGGTAGCAAGGTAGGAGATGTGCTTGTGTGTCTTGGTTCTACACCCTCTCTCCACCCTCCCTATCGTGTAAGCATCACGGAGTGACGATCACCTATGAGAAACACCCTACTGCTGTCACATCTCATATAATCCCTCAGAAAAACTTCATCCTCGCTCACCTGTTGTAGCTTAGTTTTTTACCCTAAAGCGGTAACTGGTCATTTTACGTACCACTATCTGACAGACTTTTCTAGTATGGTTGGATCTCAATGAACAAGCGCTCGCACCAGCATAGCTGTTAGATCATTGTTTTATGCTAGTCGGATCAGTACGTTTAGGTAAGAGCTATTAGTTGGCAAAATATGTCATCCCAGTACGGAACTGCGACGAATTGTACCCGCACAATCTCAACAGAAGTTCAGCCCAGTACCTTGGGGTCTCATATAGAGCATGTTACCATTCAATCACACATGTTTTCTCAGCCTCAGCCATAACCTATTCAGCACATATTGAAGTTATTTCTTGAATATTTATTGTTCTACAGGCACTTTTACTGAAGAAATAAGTTATCGCCTATTTTATCTTCTGAGCATAGTCTTATGTCTTTGTTAGAGTATATGCTGACCAACGTGTGCATATGCAATTTATTCGGCGAAAGGTTTACATTTTAGTCACAAATAAACATATCTGGAGGTCGATTGTGGCCTGAACAGCTCATTCTTGACATTTCTGACTGCAACAATGAGTTTCGTAGATCCGGATTTTCGGGAAGACACTATTTCTGAAAAGGTTGCAGATACGCCTTACTGACGAGTTTTGAAAAGCCTGAAACCTACGTTAAGGAGGACTTCCTGCCGACTACATCCAACCATCAGGTATGTCATCATTTAAGTACCTCCCAGTTCACTTACAACGTGCACTTCTCTGAAGCTGCCTGATATTTCATCAGTCTGCTAGAAAATAGTAAGGATAGCACAACTCTACGATGGACACCTTTTTTACTCTTATCTCATTGAAGACTATAATTGTAACCGTGTCACATATATATATACAAATGTATACCAATGTAAATTGTTTGAATGTTTGATTCAATGTTTCAATAAGCTAGTCTCTGTGATGTGAGCGATGAACAATTAAGCATAAGTATTTTTCCATTTTATGAATTGATTGTAACCTCATGCTGATACATTTTGATCTCGTATTGTTTTTCCTCTTTCTTCATTTTAGTTGGATGAGATAGAACAAGAAGATATTCAGCAGGCTAGAGCTTTTTATATGACGACATTTCATGATTTAGCTTATCTGATTGAACCGGCAATAACACGTTTAGTCAGATTTGCTAAACAAGTTTCAGGATTCGATCTGGTAAGTTAATGATTTCATCGAATTGATTTACTACTGAATTAACTTTATATAAGTGAATATTATTCATTACTGTTTAATAGTTCATCCCATTCCAACACTACTCAGTAGCCATCATGTAAGTCTTTGTTGGGACCAGATTTAAAGTATTTAAGCTATACACATCAACCTCTGAACCGTTGAACACAAAATGGTTGGTTTGTGACAGAGATTGACACATCGTACTGTGTTATGCATTACATTGTAACTTCACAGTACTTCACCTGCATCGGTAGTATCGAGGCATCTACATGGTAGCCTATCTACCAACACAGATCGAGAAATTTGATCCTATATAGAGACAGGAGATTAGAAGTATCGACACTCGTTGCACAAGTGGCGGCTCTTTTGCTTCAGTGGTCTAGTGGATAACGATCTGGCATTTGAAGTGATGGGTATGAAGTTCGACTCAGTGGGAACACCGTCACCTACTGGGGTGTGAGTCCATCCAGCTGACGAGTCCCAATGGGGAAGAAAGTGCTTTCTGGGTTCCACTGCTAGTTACCGAGATGAAAACTTCTCCATGAACTCATTTCACTTAATGTTTTACTGAAATCTAGGAATTTCTTAAAAGGAAGCACGTTAACATAGTGTTTTGACTTCATAATTCACACATTTTTATCCTTAATTTTGCCTATCAGCCAAAATAAAACTATAATTAAACAGACTGTACCATTAATTAGAGTCTTCAAATGAAAAATGCTGCCTAATACGATTATGATAGACTGATTCCAGCTTGCTCTATTTCATGTTCGTAGTTCCTTCATCTTTATTAAATTTTATCTACTCAATCTGCTAATGGAAATCATATTTCCTATGATTCCATAGGAATCACTAGTTTGTAACGTTGACTTTTTCGGCTTTTTCTAGCCATATACAAAACAATTTCCTTCTCTATTCATGTGATCTCAAGATCTATCAAGGTCAAGGTTATCCAAAATGAAAATGTGACCGGACAAGATTAAATCATATCCTTTGTTACTGTGATTGGTTAAGATGAACAAACATTATGAAGGGTTATTTAAACGAATTAGCATAACTTCCTTATCTAGAAGTGTTCATTAAGGTGTGCGAAACTAGGCATACAAAGTAATATTTCGAACTGGATTTAACTGAAGATGTTACATTCAGTGATTTATTTAAATAAACCGGTAGCTAATTTCTGCTTTATACTCTGGATTAAAACTGCTGAAAGAAGGCGAAATGAAATTTAGATTTCAAGTTGTTATTCATCGTAGACTGACATCAGTTGTAGAAACAAAGGAAACCTGCGAGCACTGGATAGCTGTTTCGTCCAACTAGTACGGGACTCCTCAGCAGTGCGCACCCACGACCACACCAGCAGGGATCGAACCCGCGACCTTCAGGTTCTGCGACCAGTGCGTTACCATTGAGCCACTGGGTCACAATCCAGTGCTCCATATTTCCAATTTCTGTTAGCTCACGATATATAGCGCAACCGCCACCCAATGTCATCGCTGAGTATCTGTCCTCATGGCCATCAGGCTTTGACTCCACCGGTCACGACTTGTCATTGGAACTTCGGGAATACTTCTCGAAACTAGTCACCAATGAGCATCAGTTCAATTTAAATTTTGACGGGGTTGTGGAGATTTGGAAATATTTCAAGTTGTTATTCATCGTGGGTGCGCACTGCTCAGGAGTCCCATACTAGGACGAAACAACTGTCCAGTGCTCCCAGGTTTCCTTTGTTCCTCCAACTGATGTCAGTCTTCGATGAATAACAACTTGGAATATTTCCAAATCTCCACAACCCCCTCAAAATTTAATTAAATTTAGATTTCATCGCTGAGACCTAAGTATCTAAATTAGGCTCATGAAATTGCAAATTGATATGGTTATTACTTTGTCATTCTGGTAAGTAATATGTTTTTGATGAATACTTATTGAAGAACGACTCAAAGTGGATCTACAGACATATCGTTAACAGAAAGTCAGTAGTAATGTAACTGGATGATTAGCGTGAAATTTCTCGATTTTAGACTAACTTTCATCTCGAATTGACAATGAGACAACCGGAGAGTAGTAGACATCTGGAACGCATTCATAACCGCGTACAGAATCCAACTGAAGTGTCTTAGACCTGAAGTCCATTACCTAATTAATCAACCCTTTAACCAATAACTAGTGTTTCACTATTTTCAAACTGCCTATCCATAACAGAGTGTGCCCTTCATTCAATCTGGTCATTGGTCACCCGAACTCGACTAATTTTATAAGTTATAGCCAGCATTTAGAACTTCATAGAATCAATTTTGGATGCAATTAATAATGTGTACAATGTTAATTGGCATCCTCTAAATCCTAACTCTTGTTATGGGAAGAGTATCAGTTGTTGTTTGCCGATATAATAATTTTTCCCATAAAACAGATTGTAAAGATCTCACTAGACTCACCAGATCTTTTTACAAATGGGTGACATAAAAAGAGACTTACTCATAAAATTTAAAACCTATTCTCTCTATAATCAAATATATTAGTCTTCATTCCAATACTCAGCGTTATACAGAAAATGAAAACCAGGCTGTTTCTTCACGTGTCAAAATGATCACTCCATTGTGGCTGGTGCTACTACTCACGGATTTTAAGAGATTATTATTCTTAGCGAATTTCTCCTGCCTTCAGGGAGAACAAATCATGTGCGGATCAAATTGTAACGAGTCTTTATAGAACAGAACACAGAATGGCAATCAACTGTCTACTTCAACTTCATCGACTTTCAAAAGGCTTTCGACAGCGTCCACTGAGAAGTGATTTGGTAACTGCTTCAACACTACGGTTTTAGTGCCGAAATTCTTTATTAACTTCATTCAGCAGCTACATGAAAACGCCACATGCTAAGTAATTCACAATGGGAGGCTCAGTGATGCCTTTGAAGTGAAGACAGGTTGAGAGGGTGACAGGTAAAACAAGGTTGCCACCCACTACTACCGATGATCTTCCTGATTATGGTGGGCTGGATCACGCAAGAGACTGTGATGAGCGAGAAGATGGGCGTACGCTGTTTGACCAATGAAAAGAACCTAGAATATTTGGATTTTGCCCATGATGATTTATGTCTAATGTCTAATGTCACACAAGCGAAAACTAACAAGTTGGCAGAAGAGGCAGGGCAGCGAAGACGGCATTTCCTTCAGGTGAACGTAAAGAAGACAGAGGTGATGAAGATTCCCAACCAACAACAACAAGCACCAATCACCACTAACGGGAGAAATCTAAAGGAAATTACCTCTTTCACCTACTTATCTACTTGCCTAGGCAGTATTGTTTCAAATACAGGCGGCACAGTCACAGATGAGGATGTCAAAACCAGCATCGGAAAGATAGTAAGACAGGTCTTCGTGCATTAATCTGAAATCAGTGTGGAGTTCTACTGTAGTCAGCATAAAGAAGAAGATCCGGATTTTTAACAGTAAGTCGGTCAAGCCAGTGCTTCTGTGTGATGGTTAAGAGAGTTGGCGCTTTACGAGAAGCATTTCCAACGAACTAAAGGCATACATCAACAGCCGCCGCCTACACTCACTCGATACTGAAGATCAGATCAGATGGCCAGAAAAAGCAAGCAAGAAGGAACACTGGCTAGCTGTCAACGAACCAAGCAAGAACCCATTGTTCAACAAATATGCAGAGAAAAGTGGAAATGGATTGGATTGGGCATACACTGAGAAGACCATCTGGGGACATCATGCGCCAGACCAGGCCATCGAGTGGAAACCAAAAGGGAAACGACGAGTTGGTTGTCCGAGGCGAGGGTGGCATGAAGGAGGTTGTGTGAGGAAGAAATGAAAGGTTATGGGCAGTGGTGGAGCCAAGTTGAAAAGACTGCAGAGAATGGAGTGGAATGACGGCGTGGTACTGAAGCCCTGTGTTCCACTATGAACCCACAAGACAAATAATATAATAATAATGAAAGGACATTAATCTTCAACAGTGCCAAACATCCACATATTTGTGACAGCAATATTTATAAGGCTTTGTAATATATACCCACCGCTGCTCAACTCTGAGTGGATCAGACGACATCCAGTTTCACACCGAATTATTTAGAGGTTCTAAGGAGGGTAGTTTAGATCCAATAAAGACTATTCATTTTGGTGAATTCAACTAAATATATGAGGACAGTAGTGTACCAAAACAAAATCTTTATTGAAGCTGCATGATAAGAAAATTCTGTAAACTTTACATAATCACAAATTTAGTCGTATCAGAAATCTGGATTCAAGCTGGTTATCGTCGCTACAACTCAAGAAGTAGTCAGTTTCATTAGATGGGAAGTAAGTACTAGTTAGATTTTACATTTTCATAAACTTTAAAAAAGGTAATCGGTGTATACTTACGACAGTAAGAATCATGAAATGGTTTTACGTGTAGAGTGTCAGTCACTATTCATGCATACAAGAAATATATATAGAGTTCATTCTTGGAAATGCGCCTCAAGGAAAACTAAGTATCTTAGCCAACACTGAACGTCTTCTTGATGAAGATTACTGGTAGTGATAACCTTACATGAAAAGTTCTCCTGAAATCTCCTGCAATCTAAACTACATATAGTCTTTCATGATGTTATAAACCCAACGATTTGAGCTATAACAATTGACAACATGGTTACAACAAGCGGCGACGGTTAACAATATGATAACTCTTTCTTATGAAAAACTTCAAGTTTTATGCAGCGCTTTGAAGAAAGGATGAAAGTAGTAACACTAAGGATTATTCAGAGATTCAATCAAATCCTGGTTGATGTACAGCTGAAATCTACACCCATAAATCGTCATATTTTGAAAACGACTTTCCGTAAATAGTTCAGTGATGGATATACTGAAGATGAAATTTAGTTCAACAACCCTAATACTATGGATCATATTACATTGATGGATGAGGATGATAGTAACACCTCGACTACCCATCATGAAATAATAATTGATGCGAACATTAGAACAGATCATGTTGATGGAAACCATGAATTACCTGTCGATAGTTTACAACATGAAGCAACATGTTCAATGCCTTACAACCTTTCTAAATTTAAGCTTAATATTTAGTGTTTAAGAAAAGTTCTCAAGAAGTTATACTGCAACCCCAACCATCAATTTCAACAACTAGGCAGATGCTCAGGAAGGTTCAGAACGCCTTTATGCACATCAAATATGATAGTTGCTTTGTATGCTCGTGGATTAATTTATCAAAAACAATTTATACCCGTACGAGATAATGGAGACCAGGATCTTCTACAAGCGAATTGTGTTTTAGATACCACATCTACCAGCCACCAAGCAAGTGGAAAACCCTAAATCTACTCAAATTCACAGGTCGCTGACGGTGCTGCAGGTGGTTAGAAACACATCATTGGGGTAATGTTCCGTGGGGCTGACAATGGCATTTTGATATATAACAGAGTACTTTATCAATCACATCACCTACTACTAGACCTCCTTGACTCAAACTGGATACAGAATCTCGGGATGTCATCTACAAAACTGAGACTTCCTGATGAACAGAACTAAAAAAGTATAACAGCACTGACTGCTCAAAATAACCTGACTGAATTTGGCTTTTTGGGGTTGTCAAGTTTATTCAACTTTTTAAATATCAGAAATACCGTCTTACCGATTAGATGTAAATAGCTGATTGATCTCGTTTGTATTGTGCTGGGTTGTTTAGTCATAGAGCTGTTATCGCCTTTCTAGACGACATCATCAACACTAACTTCAGTATGAAGTGAGCTGTCAATATCTCTCCCTGAGTGATTCATTAGCTTGCCTAGACCAACTGGTTTATGACTGGCTGTTTCCTTTGATTGTTGTGTCATTGACTGTCTGAATAGATTTTCCTGTTGGCTCCTCCTCTGATTGACCTCTTACCTTTCCGTCGTTTATCATTTTCTCTATTGTTTGATAGACTTGGTCTATGTCTATACATCTATTGATTACTGACTGACTGATCTGAATGCTAAACTTCTAGGAATTCATTGATATTCTTTCTGTTTCCTCTACATTGTCAAAATTGAATTCATGTCCATAGTTGTTATCCACGTGCATTGAAATGAGAGATGAAATGCTGAGATGTTTAAGAGCCATTTGGTATTCATGTAGACGAAGGCGAAGAGGGTGAGCACTTTGTCCAATGTAGTGTTGACCACAGTTATTGCAGTTGGTTGTGTAAATGATATTTGGTTTGTCTTCTTTGTTTGTTGCATCCTTTGATCTGCATAATAGTGTTTGAAGAGAATTTGTTGGTTTATGAGCCACACCAATTTCACCAAGTGGTTTCAGTAATCTTGTCGTGATTTCTGATATATATTCTTTGTGTACGGTAGGATGATATGTTTGTTGATTTCTGTCCATGACTTTGTAGATGATGTTGTACGGGATAGGCATCTTCTGATGAAGTTTCGTGAGTAGCCGTTATACATTAGGATAGACATTAAGTAATTTTCTTCGTTTCTCCATGAAGTTGGTGTGCTGCAGTGTGTTCTCGCTTTTCTGAATGGAGTCTGCACGCAATTGATTTTGTGTGTTGTTGGGTATTTCCCATTGTAGTTGAGGATTCGATCAGTGTGTCAGTGGCACAGATGCATACACACATTATCCTCATCTTAATCTCCATACTTAATCTCATCATCTCATTCTTCCTTTCTGTCTTTTACTACTTTCTACTTCCACTTCATATGACCGATTTTTCTTTCCTTCCTCATCTTTCATTTTATTGCCTTGTTACTTGATGTGCTGATATGAGGTGTGACAACTTGAGTCATTACGCAATAATGCCCGGTTTTATGTTGATCTCAATAATGGAGATGAACGCCGTTAAGAATTGAAACTCGTCATGTAAAGCTATGGGAAATGTTTTTCTGAAACAAGGATGAGAAGGTCGCTTAACTACTCTTCTTCAAATTGTCAGCAAATCATTCCCCCTCATATCAGCTTTTATGGATTTAATGCAGTTCTTTCAAACCATGTCAGAAGACACTGTAACGACCAGTTGTTGATAAGTTTTCGTCTAGCCTGTAGATAGGTAAGTGGTTGCAGGGAGCGCGCAGAGCAGTGTGAGTTTAATGGTGGCCACGAGAATCTGGAAAAGAAAAAAGGAAGAGAAGAAAGGTGAGCCGAGCACTCAGCAAGTACACAGGATGTGCTTACATTTAATAATAAGAGATAACTGACAAACGGTAGGGCTGGACAACGAAGAGGTGAGGCGGTTTAGAAATCGAAACTCTAAGGTGAATGGGTAAGATTTCGAGTGCGCTACAACACATTCATCAGAAAGTTGCTAGTAATTCACAAGATACCACTGTACTATCAGTCTCTATTTCGAGGAGGAGGTTTATTGTAGTGTGCAGAAAGATTACAAAAATCTTCATCAGAAAACGTATATCTCTGGTGCCTGTTACAACCAATCGGAAGTTTCAGGAGAAACCACGTGGACCAAAGTGTAAATATCAGATTTTTTGAAGAGACAAAAAGTCAATAAGATTTTCGAACCTAGAAAGGTCTGAAACTAGTTTAGACCGCTATAAGTATGTATAAACGCTTGTATTTTGTGCATATTTTTGGAATTTGCAAGACGCTTTCTTTATATCACCGCCTTTTCGATTTATCGAGAGAAGCGAGCGACTATGAAGGAGTGGAATCTAAAGGTTATTGCTCAAGCGCCCGCACGTATGCATAACTTAGTTCATGTCAAGTAGTTACTACAAGAATATCACAAGTGGAGACCAGAATGATAAAACACTGTCAGTTCACGGGTAGCCACAGGCACAAGCATCTTAAATGGATGCTTGAAAAACAAACGAAATCAATAATAACATGCATGGTTTTTGTAATGATATCGGAAAAAATCAAATACAAGGCTTATAAATACGTTTATTCTCAGGAAAAGAACCTCACAAAATCTTGTAAATATTCAGTACTAACATCCATCTAGGCGAATTCTAAGAATTGTGCATAAATTATCATATGTAACCGTTGAAACTGACTTCGTCAATAAGGATTTCAACAGAGATATTTTTATGCGACCAAAACGTCAGGAATAAAATGCTTCATTTGATCTATCAAGCTTAACTTGCTACTTAATATTGGAGTAAGCATACTAAGAATGGGACAAGTTATTTAAAAACAAACTTGCTCGATGACTGTTCGCGACTGTCATGACCTCCTGCCGATACTTTCCGATGCCTAGGTTATATCAGTCATAGCCTATCTTCACAGTGGCCTGATACGACACTTTTTTAAGCGATTATATGTTTTCATACGTCAAGACATATGCACTCTATTGCAAGAACATAATGAAATGCAAAATAAAGTGCACTCTTTCTAGACTAAAAGATACCACACTGATACCTTTATTTCACCATACTACTTATTAAAGCAAGTTTTTTAGTAGTATGCTTCCATGCAATGCAATTGTTTTCTAGTCATCTCTCTTTTCATTGTCTTTATCTCACCTACAGCTTGAAGCCGATGATCAGATTCGTTTACTTTGTGGATCCTGTCTTGACCTCATCACACTAAGAGCTGCTTATTGCATGAGTACATCAGTTAAAGTTCACGGATTATATGATAATGCAATGATAACACGAAATTTAAAATTATCACAAGCCTCAATCAGTGATCAAACAAATGCAGAATTATCTCAAAGTAATAATAATCCAATATTACTTCAACAGATACCTAATCCTTATTATCCAAAACTTGGTACCTCTGATGACAAATGTGCTCAATTAATTCGTGGTGTAGCGTTCAAGATGGCTAGATTGAATATTGATCAAACGGATGTTGCCATGATGGCAGCCATTTTGTTAATGTCTCCTGGTAAGCATATATATATATATATATATATATATATATATATATATATATGCATTGAATAATTCAACTTACGAACTTTGATTTTTTTTATATATTAAGAATGATGTCATTTTAAGGACATTCATTCATTAGTATACTGCTATGTTTAGTTCAGTTTAGTGTTCAGTCACCCTTATCCTATCTATTTAAATAATTATTTGAGCACAGTGTCACTTCCTGGAGAAAAATACTTGATTTTTAAAAGGAAAATATCATGATTTTATGAAGTAGTCAATAGTAGATTAAAAAATTATGTCCGCGGAATTGATCAACTAATTTTTAGGTGTAGGATGATAGAATAAGTATATGATGTCGTGTAAACTTTCATCAGCATTTACGACTTCATAATCATATCGGTGTAATTATTCAGTTAACTAAGCAGTACTGGGAGTCATCTACAATCTGAATACCCTATTAGTAAGGTTACCGACTGGCAATGAATGAAACTGTTTTGAACCTCTTTAAGGTTGCAGAAACGTTTTATTGGACTACCAGCCAACAAGTGAGAAACCAAACGATAGACAGGCATATCAGCATGCTATCTTGCATTACTTCAGGTTGACAGGTTTCACATTTCGAGAAAGTGAATAGAAAGAGAATGAGATGAAAGTAGATAAAAGTGTATAGGAGGCTAAGAAATAAGTAGAGGAAGGTTACTAAAAAAGTGAAAAATTAGAAAGATAGTAAAGTGTTAGTGAGACTGCAGTGTTGTGGTCGATTTTGAACAATATAACTAACTGTCCTCAGCCACTGATCCATAAGTGTAAGGTTTCACGTCGATCGACTGTGTATAAGTTTCATGTATATAGTGCCCTCTAGCAGTTGACAAGACATACTATGAAGCTTCAGTTGCATTAGGGTTTCGACTGAGGGTTCGACGAAGGAACACGAACGGTAATAAAATATTACTTAGAAAGATTAAAATGTCGGCCCGTTGCTGATGGTGAACAGACAAATTATGTAATAGTAACATTTGTTGAACTCACTTGTTAGAAGGATCATCAAAACTATGTACAAAAGTTGGTGTCATCGTCGAATGACAGGAAGAGTAAAATGTTAAGTTACCAGGGCGGAAAAAGACTTATCATTACTTCTTTTTGAACACACAATTCCGGTTTCACTCATTAGGTCGCTACGGCTTCTGCATACGCACCAACAATCACCACACGAAAATTTATTTTAACGATAATGACAACCGCTTTACAAAAAGCAGTAGAGGCAAATAGACATTCAAACCTGATATCGTAACCTGAAATTATAACTAAACAATGATTTTCATTTGACTATCTGAGATAGCTGTGGTATGGCAGACTTATTTATACTGAGTGGTGATTGAAGGTGAAGTGAAAGTTTCGACCGCAGCCGAATTCGAACCAGCAACTACCGGGTTTCCTGCCTGATGCTCTACCAACTCGCCTACGAGGTCCAACTGCTGATCACATTGTTATTTCACCTCAGTCACCATGGATTTTACCCTCCTATCATGTGAATTCGTGATGCGTTACTACCGCCTGATCATATTCACACTGACTGCCTAGTCAGAACTTTTCATCCCAATCCAAATGCTCCCCTTTTATAATTCAGTTTGATTTGGGTTGGGATGAGAAGTCCTGACTAGGCAGTCAGTGTGAACACGATCAAGCGGTAGTAACGCGTCACGGCTTCGCATGGTAGTCAGCGAAAACCCGTGGCGATTGAAGTAAGATAAGAATTTGGTCAGCAGTCGCACCTACTAGGCGAGTTGGTAGGGCATCGGACCAGAAATCTCGTGGTCGCTGGTTCGAGTCCGACCGCGGTCCAAACTTTCGTTTCACCTACAATCATCACCGAGTATAAGTAATGATTAAAAAAGTGACATTTCTACCGATGAGTCGCAACTTTAGACTTTTATTGAACCTGTAAAAGCTGATAGGCCAATCATTAACCCCTACCCATTGAGTGTTCTTTACAGTCCTTAGCATAGGAATTTTAGCGAAGTTTCTGGGCACTATTTAGTAATTTTTATTCTCCAGACATTCTTAGAGAAAGGAACAGTTCAGTTTATTTGCTTGTGGCTAGCAGTGGAGTTCAGGACACCTGTTTCTTCCTATTTGGGACTCGCTAGCTAGATATACAAGTACTAATGAATGAAAACTGATTAAAAATTGGATAATTTTCGGGCTAATCACAAGACGTCAGCTAATTCAGGTAACAGGAAACCAGTTCCAGGAATAAAATCTTGAATAGCTGTATAATCCGATCATTTTCGTAAAGCACACTTTTAAAATCGGTTTTCTGACCACGATGTAAATTTGTACCAGTGATTACGTAATAAAACTTCCATGTATATTGATGACTGCATTATCATCCAACAGATCAGCTCTCTGCACAGTAAATTCAACTTTTTAAACCGGTTGGCATGGATACACTAATTGGGATTCTTATTTTACATGAAACCTCACTTGGAATACATAGTAATGTTAAAATATGAGGGGTTCAGAAACAGGTTTGCAGAAAAGACAAGAAATAATTCCTATTTCATGACAAATAATAATACTACCTAGTTGTTTAGTCTTCTTTAGATGGAGTAAGGTTCAAACTACTGACCTACTCACTTAGTTTGAACTAGCCGATCAACAAATTGAGAAATTACATCAAAATTGAGGAATTTCGACGTGACATTATCATAAAAATGTGAGTGGACACTCAGAAGTACGTGTGACGATCAAATATTGCATAAACCAGATATGAAACAATCATCAAAGGAGCCAGGTACATCCAGCTGATGAGTCCCAAATAGGACGAAATGCGCATCCAAGATTTCACTGCTAGCCACGATCCATCATTAATCATCAAAAGAATTACTCAATCCTCCACTTAGTCTCCGACTAGAAAGAAATTAACTTTTGAAATGCACATTAAAAACTATGCTAAAATTAAATTCCTCACAGAGTAGCATTACCAGGCCCTCGAGTGGAACCCGAATGGGAAACGACGAATCGGGCATCCAAGGGTGACATGGAAGAGGTCATGTGAGGCAGAAATTAAAGCTTGTAGGCAGTCGTGGTGCCAGGTCCAAAAGACTGTAGAAAAGAGTGCAATCGAGGCGTACTATTCAAGCCGTATGTTCCACTAGGAACCCAAGGGGAAAATAATAATAATAAGAGTAGCATTTAAAAAAACATCTGATCTGATACTGTATGCTTTGCACAAGGAATCTCCAGCTTAGAGAGCAATACAAGTATTAGTACGTAAGAACTTCATCCTCTTCAAAAATACCCCTGATCTATGGAGTAACGTTTTATCTGTCTACACTCTGTATTCGAAACCAAAATTTCAAAGATTCAATATTAATTCAAGTATTTTCCTTTAAGCAAAAGTAAAGTTTCACTAGTCCTCATACAGTAGGCATCTACGCAAGTCTCTTAGTGGTTATCAAGTTTGATTTACCGCCTTCTTTACAAAATGTTTATTGATCTAATGTAATCTGTCTCCTTCTATGTGTAACCAGATCGCAGTGACCTAATGGATACAGATATTATAGAGAATAATCAAAATACACTATTGGAAACATTTAATCGTTATGTCAATCGATCCCGTGGTCAAATTAAACAATCTAGTGATTATTCACTGCCTACTTCACAATGTTGGCCTCGTATTATTATGACTCTGACTGAATTACGTTCTGTTACAATATGTGCTCATGATCTGTTCTCACATACACCTGGACACAATAATAATACAAATCAATTACCATGGTATTTTCATGAATTATTTTCAGCTAATGAAATGACAGTCAATTTGATAAATGAAATTAAAAATTGAGTCAGTGTATGCATTTGATGATATTCACCTTGTCTTGCCTTTTCATACTACCTCCGTTTAATCACCTTATAAAACTAACTATACTATTGATGGCAGAAAAATAGTTTTTGTTGCAATTGATAACTGTAGGTTGATTATTAAATGATGATTGTACTACATAAATCATGCATGATTTTTCACCTTTCTATCATTATCACGTCTTACTTCATCTTAGAAACAATGTACAATTGATAAGTATTAATACTTTTCCTACTAACAGTCGTTTAGCATGGAATTTTCAAAACTTTTATCAGAAGTAAGTAGAACAGAAATGAAGTCCGTTTGCTTTCTTCTTCCCCTTAATAATTAACAATTTTTTTTTAATTCATTTCTTAATTTTAAAAACCTTCTCATCTTATTCAAGTTCTATATAGTGAACCAATATGTGTGATAAGCCAAATCAATTTTGATTTCGGCATTAAGTCTTTTCATTTCGAAATAATTCATTCAGAGTTCAATGTTCAATTGTCTACAAGTATTCACTTGTGAAGCATAGATAACACAATAACAAGTCGACCTATCAAATTTTCTTTTAAGTAGTGATAAACCTTTGAAAAGTTGGAATATTCATTGGATCTATAGCATGTCAAATTCAGTGCGATTTGTCATTATTATAATTTTTGTTTTCTATAAGACTTATTAAAGTAATGAATGTATGCGGTTAGATTTTACTAACTTTATCGAGGTTTTAAACAATCACTCTTTAGGCTCAACAAATTATACCTGTGATTATTCAGTTACATTTTGTTCATTTGTAGATCTTATTTGTTGTTAAATTGGTGAAGATATATATATATATATATATATATATATATATATATATATATATATATATATATATATATATATATATATGGTCAAAACACAGCAATTAGCTTGTGAAAGAATGTTTCGGATTTGACAGTAATATTAAAACATACTAATATCCTTTCATTTCACAAATAAACATAGCGTTTTCTAATAAATAATTTTACCCGCCGTTCTCGTTTGTCATCTATACATCGGCGGGATTACTACTACTACTACTACTACTACTACTACTACTACTACTACTACTACTACTACTACTACTACTACTACTACTACTACTACTACTACTACTACTGCTTCTGAATTATCTCTGAAAATGAAATATGAATCCATTATTGTTCTGTTGAGTTCTATATTTCATCAGTATGGAAGATGAACGTGTGAATATTGCCTATATTTCAAATTTGGATTGTCAGGTCTTTCATCGAATGTGTTGGTTGCTGGGTAAACTTTAAGTTTTAGTGATGATAGGAGCAGATAAATCATAGTTAAAAGTTGATACCCAGGGAGTAATTTAACGAATTTGATCGGGAAATACAAGTTCTCGTACTCCAGTACATTTTACAGCAAAAACACGGTTTTACACTATTTTACGATACCTTAAAGACAATTTTCACGCCACCGAGTGAAATTAGATTCAGGAATCAGTTAGGTGGAATCTTCTACTTTCAGCCATTTCCAGATAATATAAGCATTCTACAGTAATATTGGTAACAATCCATCTTCATTTATAAAAGAAATTAGCTAACAAATCCGAGTTTTCCAATCGAAATTTTAACCCTAACATGCTGCAGATTATCAACAAATCTTGTAAAAGTGACTTTGATAGTTATTGTCTTACCGTAGTGATTAAAGCTTTAGTTTGAATTCAGTGTAGCATTGTTATTAAAGAATTCACTCTTTATTGTTCCGTGGATGGTGTCCAGACGTACTTATTAGGAGGCTGCAGTCCCATTTGAGTATTATGCCTCTAAGAATTCTCTTGCTGCTTTGTGTCTCAATTGACTGGTGGTCAAGAAGTTCTCCTAGTCACCTTGATGGGTATAACTATTTTAGGTGAATCTTGGAGTAACTTTCTCCACGTTCATTCATCTTATAATAATCCTGCTGTTTTTTCAGTGTTTCCAGTTTTATGCATTATTAATCTTGTATGCCCTTTATCTCCAGGACGGATCACTTTCTACTTATCTCCTCTTAGTTTTGTCTACCATTTTTTCTTGATGATTCAGTTCACAGTGTCTTACCCTACAGTTCTTCAATGGAACAGACGTTTGGTGTAACTGTCATTGATAGGCATTATGAGTAGTGGCTGTTAGTGGAATTGGGGATGTATTTCTCATTGGCTGGACGTACTTGCACGTCAGTGAGTGACAGTATCTTCCCTGATACTTGCATGCTGAACCTATCACTTCAAGTACAGCTACACTACTTCATACTTTTGTTCTGATGCGACTTTCATGGGTTTAGAACGTGACTACAATACTATCAAACTAAAATACTCTCTATCCACGGTAGAATTTGCGAATATAACCTACAAGGTCATTTGCATCAGATGTTATCGTTATTACAGTGGACAGTTTTACTACTGCTACTACACAGAATCCATAATCACAAATAAGTATCTAATATCATGTCATGAAGTGTTTCCTTTCACCACACAAGGGTGATTATCGTTATAAATTTGGCTGGAGAACTTCATGACCCCGAATCATGGGAACAGCGAAACTGAAGTAGAGCTAAAGCAATCATAGTACATAGAGAAAAAATAGTGAACAGCAGATACATAGACTTGAACTCTATTTATGAAGTGATAAAATTCAAATTTCTAAGCAACAATGTTGAGTGAACTCGGATGAAGCCACAACCAAACAAACAGGGAAATTGCAGCAAATCTGAAGAAAAAGTACGCATGAATGGAAACGTTTTTAACATCAACTCATTACACCTGAGATAGGCTTAAATGAAGGAAATCATTCTTCATATTCTGGGTAGTCAATAAGGTCGTAATTGTCACGGCCAACCATTGGACAAACAACCAAGGAAAAATGATTATTAGCCAACCAGTCAATTCCAAGTTAGATGAAGTGATGCGATATGAATTTACATTCAAAATAAAATATGCTTACTTCTTGTAAAGCTGCACCGAAGATGGTGATGTGTCACTGGAAACTCTGTCATTGGTACCTTCATATTACAGTATATCTCCATCTAGACTTCTATTTCTCAAGCTACAAATATTGACAGATATTCAATAATTTGTATGAATACTGTAACATCATCTATCCAGTATACTTCTTTGTGATATATTCTGATGACTAAATTTTGACATAATGCCTTCGATACAACTTGCTCATATAAAGGTTCTAAATAGCTTCAAAGCCTACTGTGAGCAATAAATCACTTGTCTATTGGCTGCCAAGATCAAAACTGACAGGTTGCGTTTCCGCATAACTATTTCGTTATTATCTTCAGTTAAAATATGTTAAATTATGGATAATCTTGGTTGTATTGTGGTCTCTGAGCTGCGGTGTTTAATCGCGAAGCTTTCATCATCTTTCTGGATGACATTATCAACACTAACTTCAGTATGAAGTAGTCAACTCAAGCAACATGAGACTGACCCACTTTGCTGTATTGGGTATTATCTCTGTCTTTCAGGCATAAGCTTATTTCTAATCACAATGAAAACAAGTGTTTTCCTGCAGTTTTCATTCCATGATGACAGCAGTCCTCTCGAAATTCCTACAGAATATGGATTTTAACCACCAGTGTCAAGCATCAGTACTTACTTTGTAGTTTTTATGTCTTATCCCTTGATATGGTCTTCAGAATACACTATTTAGTCGAAGCATTTCGGTTTACAAGTGAGGTTAGAGTTGAACCTAGCAATTAATTCGCCCCTGTTTTACCTTTCTCACCTCTTAAAGTCAATTATTCACGTACCTACTTTGATCCTAGTCATTAAAAATCCACTTAAGTTACCAGTCCTCATTTCTGTGCTGAATAGATAGACCTATTGACACTGCTGAAGATCTCGATTCCGAATGGCTGAAATAGCCACTAAGTAATTAGACCGCTTCAGCTTGACTAGTTATTTCCAATAACTAGTTACAGAGGATCAATTATACCTTCAAAGTATACACTGCTGTAAAAAAAGCAACTCATGGGTTTAATTTTGGTACTACAACATAGTGGACAGAAGCTTTACTTTGCTGAATATGGTGCAACATATGTGGATTTAGTAGTCAAACTTTAACCAAAAATTATTCATCCCAGTAACTTCTCATCAGGTTCTACATTGATAAAATCATGTTTGTTAACACAGTAATTGCCAAATTGGCAGTAATTGCATTTTAAGATGGATAATGTGACCGATATATGTTTGTTAATTGAGTTGATAAGTTAAAAGTAACTTGTAAGCCCCACATAACTAACTAATGAAGTTATAGTAAATTTATTCAGCATGAGGAAGAAAAACTCAGGTTGACTACAAAGGGCTGTCTAGCGACCCCTGAAACAACCAGCTACGCTTAGTTTCTCATGGAAAACCTGCCTTAGGCAGCCAAAATAAAGAAACCTAGTTGGTTGTTTGAATGATTTCTACAGTGACCTTTAGAGTCACTCAGAATTAAGAGTAAAGTTCAAGGTTAAATTGTCCACTGGCGGGTGAGTAACTAGTATGCAAAATCTCATAAATTTACCAGAATCTTAGAAATGGAGTGAATATTTCATCATAAATGGTTAGTAGATAATATCGTTGAGGTTGTATGATAATAAGAGCAATGATAATGTGAATGATAGAAGAACTGTACAGATATTTAACAGGATTGCAGAGGTTAATTAGAATAACAGGGGGAAAATGGGATACTTTGGTTAGGCTAATGCTGCAAAAAGAAGAAAGGGAAACACAAGGATGAAGGGATTTTGTTTAGTCAGTGGAAGGTTACAGGAGGGATGAGACATGGAAGTGTTTTTTAAAATGTAAAGTTCAGGCTTAGTTGACGTAATAGCCACAGCTGCAGCTATATAGAGAATACGTAAACAAGTGGTGGATGGTAAAGTTTTCGAAACATGGTGTATCAAGGTGTGTCTTCTGTCTACCAAATGTGCTGGTTTAGAACTTCTAATAGGTTTGACCTCACCCTTTGCAA